TACGTGTGGTTGTCGTTGTTGTAATCTAAATTCGCCAGTAACCCCACCTTGTATAAATTCGCCTTGGCTGATTTCTTCGCCTTACATGTATTTTGTTTTTGCTAATAACATAACACTCTCCACACAAAATGCATGTGGTAGTGTTCGTTCTTTTCCTATATATAGCGTAGCTCCGTCTCAGATTGGCAGCTCTTATTACGCTTTCCAGCATCAAATAGAAAAAGTCGCGCGAGAGTGAATCTCCTTGTCTAAAACCTCTTTTGGTCTCAAAGGGCGCGGAGAGGTCCTTCCCAATTTCGATGGAGCTGAAGGTTGTGCTCAACGTCACTCTACAAAGCCGTATTAGTTTTCGGGGATCCGTAATTTGGACATAGTGTCGTGCAGGCAGCTCCTCTTCGTGCTATAAAAGCAGCTTTAAAATTGACAAAACAAACAAACACACACCATGTCGATTTGTTAAACGGCTTCAGTCTCTCACACAGTTTTGTAGACAGGACCTTGTATGCAATATTAAGAAGGTTTATTCCGCGACTGAGATTCCTGTCTTCGGGCATGTATTCATCAGACCAAATGAAAATTCATTTTCAGACTACTCGATAGTGAGCGGTTAGTCGAATTCCAGCGGTTAATCGAATAATTGCTATTCGCTTATCAACCGACAAAAAAAGGTGTTAACCGACTAGTCGACTAACCGAATAGCCTGATAGTCGATTTTTAACTAGACCTCTACAGATAATGTTTCACAAAAATATATGTTATTAGCAAAATTATAGAAAATTTGAAATAAATTACTGCAACTGAGCTAATTATATTTCTATCGGAACTTTTTGGATCCATTTAAATTGTTTGGTCAAAGACACCACTATTTTTTGTACAATTAAAAAACTGGAATGAAGGTTCAATGTACTAGAAATGTCAGTTTTAAAAAAACATCGATGCATCGATACATCGACTATTTATACATCGAGTGGAAAATTTTCGATGCATCGAAGCAAAACATCGATATTTTCGAAGCATCGATGTTTTTTCGAGTTTCCTACTATTTCTTTGTTTCCACTTGACCACTTGAAATGCAAATTTTTAAGAGTAACATCGATACATCGATGTTTCGATGCATCGGAGAAATGGACATCGATGCTAAAATACATCCGAAGAAAAACATCGATACATCGATAGTTTCCGATGTTTCACAATTTGTTAGGTTCTATTCACATTTAAAGAATTTTATACTTTTCAGTCTCTGTAATTCAATTAGAGAAATACTAAAATTTGGATGAAGTCCCCTGTATTTAATTAGCCTTCCTTTATCCTTACTATAAATAGAATAAAAATGTTTACCGCCGTAAGTTCGCTTCGCCTAAAGTTCCAAGACCTATTATTTTTAATTCTATAATTCTGAAAGATATTTTAACTCTATTTTTTGATATATTACTGTTGCATAACGTGAAGTAAAAGCGAAGCTATTAGTCAAAATAAAAAGTTCACGTTCACGCTCGCATTGAACTGTATAGCGAGCTTAAAGCAAGTCTGGGTCAAAGTCCTCTTTCAGACACATCAAGTCTTGAAAGCAATTTTTTTCGCATTCTCTTTTGTGTTTTCTATTTGCTTCCACCCGCGTCAACTTTAATTGAATTCAAGACCATGGTTCTTGAATGGGAAGCAACGAAAAGATCAAAAGAGACAAGAAAACTTGAAACGAATTAACGGTACGGAGGTATCTGTACTCTTCCCACCTCCTTCGCCAACGAACGAGCAGACTTGACGTGTCTGAAAGGGGACAAACTAAAGTCGATGTTTAAAACATCGATGTATCGCCAATTTAGCGTTCTTAAGAAATTGTAAACATCGGTGGCAAACATCGAGTTTGAACCGATATTATCGATGTTTCAAAAATATCGATGCATCGTTTGCATCCCTAAGTACCACTGGTTGCAGCTGTTTGCACCAATTGAAAATAATGTTTGGGAACGATATATTTGCTTACAGTTTACTTGTATTTATAACACTTGCATATATTGCCATAGGAATAACGTCTTCCTTGTTGGCCGAGTGTCCGGGAAAAGATGTAAATGAAATACGGAAACAAGCTGAACAATATGAGCTATCGTTCTTGTTTTACCATGTTACCTGGAGCACTGACAGTCAAGCAGCTCGGCTGGTGTACGAACACATTGCACAAGCCTACGAATATCGGATATTTTTCGGTGTTATCGACTGCTATCATCTTGCATGCAATTGTAGTAAAACATATCCTCTGTCACTAGGCTCAGGCGCCCCAAGCAAATGGCCAACTCTAGTCATTCGTTATAGTAATCGTATTGTTTTGCAGTATAACGGAGAATGGACTTTAGAAGCTGTTCAACGTTTCATTGATTTTATATTTATTCCAGTTGAGAGATTGAACTCAAGGCTTGAATTAAAACGTTTGACTATGCAAAGAGATGCCGTAGTCCTCGGTGTTTTCGGCAATGGATCACAATTGGAGTTTCGCAAATTTGTAAGTGCTGGCATAAAATGGCTGGAAACTGATCCAGTTTCGAGTTTCCGCTTTGCTGCCGCGATTGGTCCAGCAGCAAAAGATATTTTACATAGAGCGAACGATACCCAACAACGCTTGCCTCAAGTGTTGCTCATTACGAGCAAAGGAGTAGTAGAAATGCCGCCTAGTGAGTGGAACGTGAGTAATATAGTTGTGTGGCTACAAACCGAGTTTGCACGTTCACTCAATGTATTGTACGGTTATAACTCGCCCAAAAGTTTGACTATGCTTTTACATTTATCACCAGTACTGACCGTTATTGCCAATGACTATTTCTACGAATATATGAATACATTAACAAACTATGGAATTTCTTTAGATGAGCAATGTCATACAGACATTTGGCAAAGTGAGATGGCTAAACTTCAAGAACTGGGATATGTCCAACATACAATGGAGAAAAATGAACTTTTAAAGCCGTTAACTTGCTCCGCTAAAGAATACCTTAGTCAATGGAATTTGAGGTATTACTACGCTTTAGATAGCTATCTAAAACAGTTTATTTGTGGCTTGAGACGAAATTGTACCTTTGAAAAGGGTTTGGCGTCATCGAATAACATACATAAGCTATGTACTAGCAAACATCGAAACAGTTCGCCCTCTATGAAAATTGCAGCTGCGAAATATTTAAAAAAGTTCGTTGATGACAATT